GTTTTCACAGGCGCAGGTTGGGTCCAATATCCGTCACTGGGCAGATAAGTTATTGTGGTAAACAGAATGGAGTATGATTGGCTAAGGCTCAGCCATATGCCCAGAGATATGGTGGTTCCCTAAAAAGGAGACACTGAGTACACAAAAAAAGCTCACGTTCACTATAGACATGGAAACCCACAGAATGGCAGAAGATATCTGCAAATCATATATTTGATAAGTAATGTCCAGAATAAAGTATTCCTACAATTCAACAAAAAGGAAACGCAATTAAAAAAATGAGCAAAGGACTGACTAGACACTTCAAAGAAGATCCACAAATGGTCAAGAAGCACATGAAAAGATGCTCAACATCACTAGTCATGAAGGAAATGCAAATCGAAACCACAATGAGGTGTCTCCTCACAGACAGTAGAATGACTACAACCCAAACACATGATAGTAACAATGGTGGGGATGTGGAGACACTGGAGCCCTCCTGCATTATTCGCGGGAAAGTGAAACAGTACAACTGCTATGAAAAAGGGTGGCAGTAACTCAAAAATTTCAAAATAAGATTACTACATGATCAGGCATTTTCACTTCTGGCTATATACCCCAAAGAATTGAAAGCAGAGACTCAAAGAGGTATTTGTACACCCATGGTCATAGCGCCATTTGTTGCAATGGAAGTAACCCAAGTGTTTATCCATGGACGAATGGATAAACACAATGTGGTGTATCCATACGAGGGAATATCATTCACCCTTAAAAAGGAAGGACATTTTGACACACACTAGGACATGGATGAACCTTGAGGACATTATGCTACACGAAGTAAGCCTGTCACGAAAGGATAAATACTGTAGGGTTATGCTCATATGAGGTACCTCGAGTAGTCAAATTCACAGACAGAAGGTGGAATGCTGGTTGCCAGGGGCTGGAAGGAGGGGGCATGGGGGATTCTTATTCACTGGGTGCAAGACGTGGAGTTCTGCCCACGGATGGTAGTCACAGCAGTCCAACAACGTGATGTCCTGATTTCCACTTAAAAACAGTCAATGCAGTAAACTTGATGTGTATTTTACTGCAATTTTTTTTAAAAAAGGCATGTCCACTCTAGAATTTTTTTTTAAGATGCAAAGTTGTCCCAATTGCTTTGAAAACCTTTTTCTCCACTTATCCCGTAGGGACTCTCTTCTGAACATGTTATGCAGATACTCCTGCAGTCACGCTGAATCCTCAACACCCTCCCCGATTTGTTTTCCCCATACTAGATAGCTCTAGAGACTCCATAATCCCCCACTCTGGTCAGCAGCCTCCTCAGGCTCATCCTTTAGTTCAGTGTGCCTGTAAGTCAGTTGTGTCAAAAGCTGTTGATGTATGTGTTACATCCAAGAAAGGTGTCTTGAAGAGGGGGCATGGGGAAAATGTGTTTCTGCTTAAATGAAAACCAACTCAGCAGCTTTCATTGGGTGGTTATCTCTTGGGTTCCCATATAGAACTGGATATTCACTGGGACCATGAGGCCAAATGATCAGCTGAGAGCCCCTCCTACCACTCATCTGCAGAAGTAGCATTTTCACGGCACAAGGGCCATTTGTCACCCAAATGGCCCCACAGGATGGTACTTGCAGGGCATTTATGCCCACAGGGACGGAAAAGAGTCACGGGTAACTCCACTGCTTGCCATCTCACATGCTCTTGATGGCACTTTTCCTCAGATCAGAATTCTGTAAGTTCTGAGCATCTCAACTGAGATACGCAGAAATGCTATAAGCATAACTTTGTGGTCTAGACAGTCCACCTGATGGACCTAGGTTCCAAGCTGTGCCACCCACAAGTCCTAGGACGTTACGAGGTCACTTAAACTAGATAGTAGGACTAAAGATACCACCTCACGAGGATGTAGTAATCAAATGAGGTTACGTATGGTAAGCTCCTGGCTCATTTAAAGTCTCTTCCAATGTGAGTTTCCTTTCCCTCCCTTCTCCTCCGTGCTCACTTCAGAGCTGCCTCCAAAGCTACTGATTAAACCGAAGCCTGGCCACTTGCAGCATGTTCCCATTCCTCACCTTGCTTCAATGGTTCCAGCTGTCTCGACCCGGGTCTGTCCCTGCCGAGGTCAGACGGATAAAACTACGACAACAATAACACAGGCTTCACGGAGACAGAAGAAGGTGCATGAATGAATATCCTTACTTTGGATAGACCGAAGAAAAATGTTCTCTTTCCTCTTCTTAAGAGCCAGTTGAGTGCTTGAGCCAAGCATGGGGACGACATATGTTGCCAGACGTGGTAATAATCTGTGGTAGTAGATTTTATTTACGAAAGCAGCCGGTCCTCAGAATTTGGAAAATACGCTTGTCATTTGTAAGATTCTAGTGCAAGTGTAAAAAATGATGTGTTATTCCATCTTTTGTCCAGAGCCCACTCTAATGTCTCCTCCACTTTAACCCCTAATGTTTCCATCTGATGTACATGCAACTTCATGAGCCAAATAGGAAGGTTTTATAGATGTGTTTGGCATTATTTTTAATTTCTCTTCACATACACGTTATTACTGCCCACTTTCATGAAACAGTTTATTCACCATAACATATATTTTAATGAAAGCCATATTTTGGGGGTACATGAATCTGTCCAAGAACAAGCGACTAAATCACCTGTCAATCGGTTGTCGAGCTCCTGCTCAAATAGGTCTTCTTTGGCAAATAAATTGGAAATGCCATGTTTGTTTCCAAGTAGACATAAGGCGGCAATGACTTGTAGAAAAGACACCAATGAGAAGTTCACAGAGGCATCTGAATTGCCTCAGGGTTGTTAATCCAGATATAGTATTATTTATTGTTACTGGAAACTGGGGTAAGGCAGGAGATGGGAAGGCAGGATATTAAGTCAACTGGTAATCCCAAATAATTTCCCATGATGCACACTGTACGTACACATTCTACATTCCTGCCATCATTTCTAGCTTTCACTAATGCTGTCTCAAGGTCGCACAAGTGGCAAATCTTGTTTAAATGACTAACGGACACGATCCGATGAAATTACTTAGGATTCTATTGACTGCTTTCAGAGTGATTCAGTTATGACCCGACAAGGTGTCTCACAACCAACCAGAAAGTCACTGCAAGTCCAACATGCCACTGGACAAGTCTACTTTGAGGCCCACCACACCTCCAAAGTAACACTTCCAGTCACCAGACTCAGTATCTTCCTCCAATAACTAGCTACCAGAATCCTTTTTTCTTTTGTGTTTCTCATCTCTGTGAATGGCACTGCATCAATCCAATTTCCCAAACCAGAAATCCAGAGATAAGGCTGGATTTGCCTGAGGGCATGAGAAGAAGCAGGAGCAACTGATAAAGGCTAATGATCCTTAGCATGGTAAGCTCTTCAATCTGTGTACTTGTGTCCATACTGAAGGCCATCACCTAACTCAGGAATCTATCGGTAACTCTCTGAGACCCTGTGCCAGCCTCGCAGATCCCCTATTCTCCACTGTAGGGCCAGAGGGACTGTCACCCACTGCAAATCCAGACACATCCTGTTTACAAACCTTTCATTTGACACCTACTGATCGTATGATAAAATCGAAATGTGTACTGAAAATAAAATGGTGGATTGAAATCCTCATGATCTGGCCCTTGGTTATTTTCCAGTCTCATTTCTTATTATCCCCTCCCTTCACTCTGTGTTCCAGAAACAGTAATTATTTGCAATAGTTCTCTGACCACACCATTCTACTTTTCTCTCTTACCTACATTCTTCTATATTTCCCACTTTGTCTAGATGCTTCCAATCCCTTTTCCCTGGCCTGCCTTTTCCATTTTGTCCTTGGCGTTCTAGCTCGGAAATCATCTTCTCCAGGAATCTTCCCTTTGAGGGCTGGTTAAGTGCCTCAGCAAACTATTTGCCATGTACCATATGGCACCCATTGGAGCGCCCCCCGGGCACCGGGACGGGTCCTCAGGGTCCTCCCCCCCCCCCCCCCACCGTATCTACCTGCCTAAGAGCCAGAGGGTCAAGAGTGTGATGAGTTCAGAGTCAGCCCTGCCCTGTGGTTCTGTGGAGACTAATTTACTCGGTGTCTCTTTCACCGCCTCCAACACTTACTCTCATTCAGGGCTGTGTATTTTCACCAAAGGCTTCCCAGAGAACTAGACTGACATCATCATTACAGTCACCCACCAGATAGAACAATCTAAGATTTTATGACTACAAAGACAACACGATACCCTTTAGGCCCAGAAACAGTGTTTCCCACAAGCCTCGGTCAAGAAGTATTTTATAAGGAGAGAAAATGATATTCTAGCTTGCATAGGGCAATCTGCTTTGTCAGATATGAGCACATGGTATTTGGACATTTTTCAAATTGTATGTTAACACAGTTCTGGAAGGTTCTCTGAATGAGGGGCAGGCATTTCAAGACCAAACTTGAAAACTTTTCCCCATGGTGCTCTGAAGAACCATCTTTGTTTACGACAGTACATCCTCAGAATGGACTGAGGCCTGGTCAGCTTTGAGAAGTTTTTGAGTCGTGGCCCATGAATGAGAGTATATGTTCTTTTACACTACTGTATCCAATAACTAATTTAAAAAGTGCGTATCATACACAGATGTTAAGTAAAGGTTCTCTTTTGCTAGCTAAGCGAAATCATACATTTCTCTTTCTTTCTTTTTTTTGTTCCTGGAACTCGGAATCACAAACCACAGACAGACCTTGCAAACAGATCTAAGTTTTACGTGATATTTTCTGGCTTTAAGTAATTAAAATCAACTAAAGCTACTGATGTTGCATATTATTATTATTTAATAAAAGACTAATGGGGGCAGAGGAAGCAATTACTGATTCACTACAAACTTTTTTTTTTTCTTTTCAGATCATTCTCCATTCACGCGTAACTCTTTTTCCAAATACATCTTTGCTTATGGCCATCCTTGCTCTTTATTTTCATGAATTATTAGTCCAGCAGATACTTCATGTAAGTGGTAAAAATTTATCAACCAAACTTACCTGCGCATTTTCTCTTTTTAATTCTAGTCCAACATTTTAACATCTCTTTAATTTCAGACCATGATCATGGTAAGTGTTTTCCTATGGTTTACACATTCCTTCAACAACTATTTCTTTTGAGTATCTACTTTATGCCAGATACTTTCCTAGATCCTGGTTATATAGAAGTGCGCAAACCACAATAAGATAAAAATCACTGCCCTCGCAGAGCACACTTTTAGTGGGTGAGTCATCAGATACAAAAGATAAACTATGTGCCATGTTGGATAACGGGAAGTCTAAGGAGGAAGTAGTATTTGACGGTAAAGCAGGGAAAGGATAGAAATGCTGGGGGCCACGAGCAATTTTAGAGAGAGGACCTCCTCAATTTGGCCGTGAACCTTTTTTTTTTTTTTTTTTCAACCTTTATTTATTTTTGGGACAGAGAGAGACAGAGCATGAACGGGGGAGGGGCAGAGAGAGAGGGAGACACAGGATCGGAAGCAGGCTCCAGGCTCTGAGCCATCAGCCCAGAGCCTGACGGCGGGGCTCGAACTCCTGGACCGCGAGATCATGACCTGGCTGAAGTCGGATGCTTAACCGACTGCGCCACCCAGATGCCCCTGGCCGTGAACCTTTTAAAAAAACTCGTGAATGAGGCCGTCTGAAATTTCCCTTCCGTTTGCATTTGAACAACAGATTTGCAAATAAATCAGTACCACACACAAGGTAATAAAGCTGTTAAAAGCTGTTTAAGAAATACACTCCTATCACTCTGGGGAAGCTACTTATAAAGGACACCCCATATTCATCTTAAAAAAAAAAAAAAAACAAACAAAACCGTGCTTTAAATACTCTAAAAGGCACTGCTTTGTCATTAGCAAATGGCAACTACTTTCTGCATAACACAGGAATGTAACTGCTTCTATGTAACAACCAAAGCAACTCACAGCCTTTCCCTTCACCAGCCCACTTTCGGTCTTGATGAGTGACCTTCTGCCTTGTTACATCTCAGCTCGCTTTAAATGCAAACTACATAATCTAGGCACAAGCAAGGGAAGGTGAGAATACACCAAGAAACCCAAGTATAGATTTCACGTTATTTAGAATCGAGCTAAAGCCACACAACAAAGACTCTACAACCTGGGAGGGTGAAGAAAATGAAAACATTTCCAAAGGTATTTATTGAGACATAGTAAAGATGTACATATTTTTACAGGCTTTTAATATTAATTTACATTTCTTTAAATTATGTAGGCCCCGATAATCTATACTTTACTAATACATAACAGAAACCCTTGAGCTGGACTGTGAGATTTCCAAAATGCCACCATAGTTGCGAGTCAAGATGCAACTTTGGTGCGTGATGCTTCAATTTGTTTCTGAAGGAAACACTGAAGGCCATATTCACTGAGAAGATAGGCTCATCACAGACAAATTTGCTTAAAAGAACAAAGACAAAACAAAACCCAGCAACTTCAGACTGGAGCATGCTCTTCACGCTATTTTGAATCTTAGCTCACCAGAGACTAAGAAAAAAAAAAAGCACGTTTAGAGGGTTATCTACTTTTTGTGAGCCAAATGCATGGCTCTAAAATCTACTTTTTGCCTCGGAATTTGACTTACAAACTTTCGTAGGGGTGTAGTGGCTTAATCTTGTATGCTATATTACTATAGTCAGGCCACCTGCTTTTCTATTTTTCAGGTGCAACCCAAGGTGGTTACCTTCCCTGGTGATAAACCAACTTGTGTACATGTAGTAGCCGAAAATTCCTTTCAGTGACCAAATTACTTTTCAAATTGGTTTACAGTAAGGCACAATAGTCCATGTCAACAGAAAGTGGGAATTTCCAAAAGGGGTTGTCCTTCCTGTTTGCTTGTTGGCTTATTTTTGTTTGTTTGTTTGTTTTTGTAGATCAGAAAGCTAGAGGATCTTCTGCTCCTAGCATAGGAAGGGCAGAGTTCTAGACTGAGCATGCTCAAAGTTGCACGACATGCTGCGAGCTCGGCCACGTTGGCTTGTGCCATTATTGTGCCAAACTGTTCTCTGTCAACCTAGCTTCTAGGTTTTATGCTTGCAGTCTCTTCTGAACACACTGTCAGGGGAGAAGATGTGTGTGGGGAACAGCACTAGGTGATGTAATTGGCGACCCTCCCTTTGCCCTGTGAAGGGGTATTCCTCTCTGTACCTGCTGGTTTAGCAGCATTAGAAGCCTTGCTTGTTTGATATGGAAAAAGAATGAAAAATCTAGGTATAATGCCACAATTCTATCATTTAAAGAAACTGGCGACAAAGATAATTTCGTTTCATTCACAGTAATAAATATTTAAAGTTTTAGTGCACAAAACATAATTATTGATAGCCAGTGCAGCTCTTTGATTTTTTTAAACTGCTATTTTCAAGCTAAAGGCCAATATAAATGTAAGATTATTATTAGTATTATTATCATTATCATTATTATTAAAAGTCTTGCAACCTTACTTTATCTGCACCAGTACCTGGGGCAGAGAGAGCCAAAAGTTACAAAATTTAAAGAATATGTTGAAGGTTCGCATGATGAAATCACAGCCTTACAATCTGCAACATTGGATCTCAAGCTCTTTCTGCTCGATGGAAGTATGGCCTCGGCATTCAGTAAAGAAATACGGGTTTATAGCCTGCAAAATGAAACCACATTTCCATAGTGAATGCTGCGATCAGTGTGCAAAGCACTGATCTCTGGGAGCCACCGAAGCCATCACGGACCAGCCTCTGGTTAGGGGCGCTGCCTACGGACTGGACTCCTGGTTCCACATTATGATATTTTAAACACAGAACTGCAGGTGCACACCCCATTCAAACATTCCTAGATCTTGAAGTCTTAAATTCCCACAAGGGAAATCATGTCATACGAAATGACAGGAGAACCTGTATCGTGTTCCTAACGTGGGCTACACACCACGAAAAAAAAAAAAAAAAACAAAACACATGCACACACGACGATGACAGGTTCTCCTTGCAATGAATGCAGGTCATTGTGCAGAAACAGTGCAGGCAGAAATGAAGGTGCAGGGGTCTCTAAGGGAGAGAAACTGGACTGATGCATTAAGACAGAGAACCAGATACTACTTCACTGCTGCAATTTCGGTCTTGCTCCCAAGATCTGGCTCACTTGCCAATTTATCTTATGATGATATTCTAGGTAAAATTTTCATCGATTCACTCCTTCCTTTAGAAACCATCTGGGCATTCGCCTTCCGCCACGGAAGACCTTTCGTTTTTGCCACGGCATCAGGAATGAATGCACTTAGCTTGACGTCAAGCCATAGTTCGCTCGACGTGAATTCTAAGCCATGTTCACGGCTTCTCCTAAGAAAGTTTGGGTACTATTTGCTTATGATTTTAATGAGACTATTTTCCTCTACACGACTTACACATATCGGAAGGTCAAACGCAAAATAATGTTAAGTAGTCATGAATATGGCTCTTAGTTTTCTCCAGGAGAACTGTAGAAAGGGTACTCGAGACTTCAACATACATTTCACTTTCTAAGTAAAGGTCCCACAGTCTTTCTCAAACCTTCTGCTTACGGTTGGATGCACAAGTAGTTGCCTCATATAATTATTGGAATTATTAAGAACCCAAATAAAACACAAGCTTTCTTTTATTATCATTGTTTTCTTATTGCAACAAATACTCAGTTTCTTGCTGATGCAGTATTAAGCTTTTGATAGCTTGAATTTTAAATTTGGTCATCTTAAGAATGATCACAAAGGTTTTTTTTTTTTTTTTTTTCATTATCTACAGATTTTAACCAAAGTTACATTGTAACACACAAACGCTGTCTTGTCTTTAAGGCACAACACATCAGTATGAACATTCTGTTTGCCAAACTTAAAAAAGAGACATTTCAGACTCCCATTTCCACCCCCCGGTTTCCCCCCTTCCCCCCCCAACAAATGAAAGAAAAATTGCATCCACTTTCAAAGTCAGCTGCTAATAAAGTCACAGTAAATTATTTTCATCAATAATTTACACAAATTACAGGTCTAGATAGGATTGTCCTTATACAGTCTGAGTGCATTCCAATTCAGATTTTCTGGGCTAGGTAGGCTAAAGTCAGATTCAAACCTCAGGGCTGAGAAGATCTCCCATTTTGAGGAATGTTGTTGAGCACCACCTTGTCGGACGGAGCACGTGTTGGTACTTTGCCAGGGTAAGAGTTCTTTGCTAAAGCTGTTAATTCCAGTTAGGACTTGTTCGGTGTGTACCAGCAACCTCCACAGATTTTTTTTTTTTTTGAAACATTAAAGTGTTGTAAATATAAGACCATAGAGCTTCCTTTCTGTAGCACTAAAGTTTAACTTCCATTCAGCAATCTGAATTCTTCATTCTGGAACTGTCATTCCAAATATGATTTCATCCTTTAAGACAATTTATATGTGTAAAAGCCAGAGGCATTGAATCACACATAAAAATTCAGTGTACTTGAAATATATATATATAAAAAAAAATGGATCTCCAGCTAGAGAACACAGTTACAAATACTCTAATTCCAGTGCTTGATGTAGAGCCAAGAGGTCTGAGTGACTTGAAATCCTCCAAAAGGGCATGTTGTGCTGTGTGTTGACAGAGGGAGGTACGGGGGAGAGAAGGGGAAGGAATGGAGAGAAATCGTAACTATTGTCTCAACGAAGCAACAGTAGACACAGAAACGTGTGGTACACCCACATTCAAGGGAGGCATGATTGTATTTGAAGGCTCGGTAACATCAGTATCATACTGTCTTCAAATAAGAGAGAAATAGATCTGAACTGGATTTGAATATTTATAAAAGCAAATACTGAAATTTCTAAAGTGGTTTAGTATTTATTCTGGAACGTATCATTACCAAGATTAGCATCTGGGGGTGCAAGCTGAGCATCAAAATCCTCTCTGGCTGAGGGGACGCGATTTTTAACCACAACACTCCTTAGGGTTCCCCTCTCGGTTAGAAACAAAATTTTGACAATGACACACTTCCTAAGTCCCAGGCTTTTTATCTATTTGAGAGGAAGAGGGTGAATTCTTTTGTATGTAAAAAATAATTTGAAGCTGGACTACGTAAGGTAGAAAACAATGCAGGGATAATCAAACTTCTTCCTTGTCTCGGGTAAGTAATAACTTAAGCCGGTAGCATTGACTTAACTTACTTCATGGTGTGGGACTGAGAGAAATTTCGCACTCCGGCATCCATTCACAATAGGAGCGATATGTACCCGAAGGAACAATAATGGGCTCTTGTGGGGAAAAATATGCTTAGACATTACATTGGTTTGTGGCTCTCCAAAGATATACCAGGATACGGTATATGTGTGGTAAATTTCATGACAAAATGTGATTAGAAAAAAAAAATGTTGAAAAATTCGCCATTATGGACAATAATGAAAACAAAGAAATAATGCACTATAGCAATTAACAAAGTCAAGCATTACTTGTAATTTTGGGCTGATGGCACCTTATAGAATATATATGCGTGGAATATATATCTATATATACAATGGAAATAAATATATCCATATATATAAAACAGGGAAAATATTTTAGTATAAAAGTTAAACATTCAACTATTAATCACTATTGTTATAATTCTTTGCTGTCCAATATGGTAGCCACCAACCCCATGTGTCTAGTGAGCACTTGAAATATGGCAAGTCCTGTCCAAAATGCATACTGAATTTCAAAGACTTAGAATACAAACATCACATTAGTAATTATTACATTTGTTAGGTGTCGAGTCAGTAATATTTTACGCATAGTGGGCTAAAGTATATTACTAAAATTAATACTACCTGTCTCTTTTTACTTTTCTTTTTTTTTAAATGCAGCTTCCAGAAAACTGAAAAGTACAATAATGGCTCACATTATATATTCCTATGGGGGAGTGCGGTTATACGTTCTTAAACTTTCAACTTTCTGCTAAAATTTGCAAAACAAAGCATGTTTCTAGGTCCAATGAAAGCACAGCTATTCACGTAAAGTAACATTTTGTTTTTCCATTCAGCTCAGATCTATTTATAGTAACGACATAGTACTTTGTATTTCTGCGCATGCGGTAACAGCCACATCCAAAGAAAAGCATGCATCCTGGATACTAGAGGAACCAGCCACCTGTGTTTCAAAACAGAGCTGTAAGCCTTCACCATCACCAAAACTGCACCTACATAAACAACCATTTGGAAGTAGCATTCTAACCCAGGTTCTCATCCACTTGGAGTCAGGCCTTTTTCCCCTGAAGTTTCAGGTGTAAAGCAGAGGGGAGGACAACTGTTGGGTCACATCCTGTTTTCACACCACGGGCAAACGGTGTAGACTCTCTACATTTTCATTTTCAAAGGCATATAACATTCCTGGTTTGGAAAAGCGAATTTTATTAGCCCTGACCTAGACAGATGTGAATTTCGCGTAAGCTGCAAGAGTTGCAAAATGTGTGCGGCAGTGGCTGCATTGACCACTTGTGTGTTAATTCTGGTGCCAACATGAAAAATCAAAACAACACGGACTCAGGCCATTGACAAACTCCAGAAGTTATTTCAACTGTGTGCAACGAGGAGGATTCTATGTAGCAGTCCGCACTGAAAGTGGTGTTTCTTGAGGCTGCATCCCTGGCCTTCTACAGAACGTCCTGGCGGGGGAGGGGGGGCAGGGTGCGATCTGGGGTCACTGACACGGCTAATTGAGACCAAGAGCTCTGCGGGCGTCAGAGCCTGCACCAACTCGCTCAAGGTTATGGAAAAGCATGGGATTTTTCAATTACGGCTTCCAATACTTGACCAAACCTTCTAAAGTAGAAGCTCCTTCTTCACTTTGCTTGATTTGAATGATCTACAAACATAAATCACGTTTTTTATCTTTCTAGTATAGCCATAAATTTTCTTAAGCCCTCTCCCTCCTGTTTTTCGAAAACAGACATCAGGTGAACACAGCAGCACATACAAGTGTTTCAGTGAAGGCTTTATTCGATGATGATTTGAGGTCTCCTCAGGATAAGGACAACATTCTTTTTATGTAAAACAAGATAAGCCAATGTGTCGCTGTTTAAAAACAGCAGTTATCATTTTGCTTTATTTTATGAATTCTATGATTTTTATCCTGGCCAGATGATAGATATTTTGCGGTCATTCAGTAAAGGAAGCATTAGATCTCAGTGTTGTTTCGACTGATGGTTTGGTGTCTAGGACCAATCTTGGAATCACTCCTCTTTTGATCTTTTGACCACTTAACGATCTTTTGATAATTTCATGGTTTTTAACTGCCTTAGTTTCTTCTTCAGAAATTTGGGCCAGATGAAAGGGCTTATTTAAATACCTAGGGCCTATGAGGTCTCCTGAATATGTTCAACGCCAGCTGCTTGGCTGCAATCACGCACTGACATCTCACTAAAACAGACAACATTCTTCTAGAAGATACGAGGCATACTGCCTCTGAGTCTCTATGACAAGTTGGCACCAAAGGATCTGAATAATACACGTCATTCCAACAGCCTTTATTAATTTCGCTAGCATGGTTTTTCTTCAGCTATTAAAAATAGCCTCAGCATTTATCACCACGGAACACGCTTACTACAAGGCGTTCACCAGGACCATAGGGCATAAAAGCTGGGTGAGCAAAAAGGGAAGAACTGAGTCACTCGTGTGATTTCTACGGAGCTCATTAAACTTATCAGGTGGACCTTCGTGTTTAAAAATGGTCCCCCCCCCCATCTTTCTTAAAGATCACTGGATCTGTGTGCATGACGCACGCACGTAAATAAACCTGGCTGAATTTTCCTACATTTCTATCAAATTTCAGGCAAAAAATGCTAGACTCCAAATGGTTTATTTGAATGTAAGTATCGACCTTCTCATGCTCTTTACTGCTTTGCATCTATAAATTTAGATCATTTGTCAAGCTGCCATTGGGCCAAACTACAGGAATGCAAACACAAAAGCTTGCATTAGAAGTTATCACACCAACATTGTTTGAGACAGGTTACCTTTTTTGCTGCCTGTTCTTCTTCTACACCATCCCCAATTACAACATATACTACTTTTCTGCCAAACCTTTGCATTATTCGTTCAAAGCAACTTTCTTTCCCTGGAAGATAAATGAGATAAAGTTCAGAGTGAAGTTACCTGGTTAGCGGCATGTTCTTCGTCTCGGCCATCTCCAATCACAACATAAGTTATGTTAGTGCCAAACCTGGACACTATACGCTCAAAACAGCTTTCCTTGCCTGAAAAACAATGCACTGCTTATTCTTCCAGCCACTGCATTCATTAACCTAAAGATTCATAAAGTGTTAGGTTAATTTCTCTCGAACATCAATCACTTAAACTAGCTTGCAACCTCTGGGTTTACGAAATCAACCAATATGTTTGAATAATGTCAGTCTTCACTTGAGACAGATTATTAAACAAATGTGTCTCACACTCCACAAAAGCCAGTAGGGTTAAGCATCTGGCCCAGAGAAAATGTCAGCGCCTTGTACATGAGTAAGAGAATTCTGGAACAACTTTGATAAGCAACTGTGAGTTTTAGTATCTATTTGTTTAACCCTGCGGATCAGTTGTGTCTCGTCTGAGCAGTATAGACAAGTTGGCTAAAAAAAGAATTGTAAAAAAAAAACTGAAGGCTGATCCGTAAGGAAAGAGGAAATACTAAGATGTAAATTTACCTTGATAAAAAAGATAAAAAAAAAAAACAAAACTCCCTTCTTCAAGTGGCTAGGAGCTAGTCTGTTCAGATTACTTGTACCAAGGGTGCTGTCTGGGCCACAGCACTGGTGACACCTGTCTCCTCTGATTGCACTATGAGAATAACACCGTGGAATTTCTACATGTTCTTCATTTTACAACACTGCCATAATCCTCTGAATTTCATTCCCAGAATGTTCATGCAGTCATGGCTATTTTTGCATTTTTTTTTCTTAATCTGATAGTTCAGAACTCCAAAAAATACTAGCTTAAAGGGAAAAATAAGAATGATTGTGGGTTTTTTTTTCAGATTAAATATAAGGAACAATTTGACCAATAAAAAAGAATATTATCCTTCCTAGAAGAAATGTTTATGCTGGTGTCAAATTATTTGATTTGCCAGAATGGAAGACAAAGTGTGATACATTAATCCTGCGGCGTAAATACATACATTTATGTAAGAAGTGAATGGGATTGGTATCAGGGTTCTGAACTGTATGTAGTGCCGTGACAATGTGGAATTGACATCATGAAGGCTTGGCTCTCTTTAACTATCCTCCTGGAACAGCTGCAAATGGGGGCTCTTTCTGCCTGTGCCAATATCAAAACTCGGCGAGACCCAGGGCAGGTTATTTTTGGTAGGGGATTTTAGGATTCTGAACTCTTGTCAAGGTGCCAGACCCTAAGTCTGTTGACCTGCAGGGTGCATTAGACAACCTGTTTCCCCAGTCATTTCCTTGACAGACAGTGGAATACAGGAGCTGTTTTCTTTTAACTCTTTCAGGACAGCAGAAGTCAGGAAGTTCTGTTTTTGAAAGATGCTTAGAGACTTGGTCTGTGAAAGGCAGTGAAAACTCCAAGATGGCTCCGCAGAGAGATATTAAGCAAATGAACAAGGCTGGAGTTCTTTGGTTACTGATTGAACATTTTTGGAAATGTGTATTTCTAGCCATTCGTGGGTTATAATTCATGAAATTGTTATTTTTTTTTTCTGAAGTGTAGGATCCTACTCAATCCATCCGGCACTCCCCTGTAATGTCAAAAGAGTATTTTATCTTAGATCTAGATTACTGCATCTGCAAAGAGGCAATTAAGATATTTAAGATATTAAATCATTAAGGTATTAAATACCATGGCTAAAGACACTGTCTAGTATTCAGAAAACACGTGTTGTCCTGAAGTGTAAATACAAACACATAAGTAAGCAAATAGAATTGTCCAGATACTGAATTCAGAATTTCACTGGGCAACAGTTTTCATAAAATTTGCACACATACATTGGGTTTCAGGGTACTTTGTTATTTGCACTCCATTCAAATTTGCTTGATAATCTAATAGCAAAACTCATGGAAGAGGGAATCATGCAGACAGACATATTAAGGAAATCCCCCAAAACCCAGCTGTGAGCACATTCCACACAGAGCTGGAAGTAATTGTCTTACCTATTTTAGTTGCACTGTAAATATTCTCAATGGGGAAAGCACCTCCTAAACTATAGAGTAGAACCTTCGCGAGAGCTGGGATCAGTTGGGTTGTCGTTACCAAGACATTTACGCAGTTACTCCTAAGATAGGGAGGAAATATGCATAGTTGTTTTCCGATACTAAATAATTTCGAATGGCACAGATTTTAAACTGTCACTGTGGTCCTCTAACTCCATAATAAATGGGTCCCGATAAGCTAACCTTTAAACATCAACAGCTGTTTATGGAGCGCCTGCTATCTGGAAGGTACCATGACAGGTGCGAGGAATACATCCCCAAATAGGGGAAGTGGAAGAATGGGCAAAACGAAGTCATGGATGAATGACGTTTTTGTCCCCCTCCCCTGCCCCCCGCATCCCAGAGATACAGGAGAGACACAATAGACACCTGCAATATGAAATATGTTCTATAATAAGGATCTCCTCAGGCTCCTGTGGAACCTCAGAGAAGAATACCTACCTCAGCCAGTGGCAATCATGGGAAGGTTATCAGAGGGATGGCTTAGCTCTAAGTTTTACAAGTATCCAGATGAGGTAATTTTTTAGGGTGGTAAGACTCTATGTCTCAGGGTTTTCAGAGCCTGGAAAAGTAGTGGACATAGGCAGAAAGAAGGTAACGGGATGGGTAAAAGTAGTTTTTGGATTTTGTGCAAGAAATAGCCCAGTGTCCCAGTCAAGGGGCTGACAGATGGGGATTCTGGAGAAGAATGAGAGGGCCCTTATTTAGTCCAGAAGACGTGACTCTCTGAATCTCCTTTCCAACAACAACATAGGGTTGCATTTAATGGACCCAGTTTTAATCCACCTACACAGGCCTTCCTCTTTGAAAGTAACAATCTTCCATTTTACAATTTACAGTGGTTTCGTTCACAGTCATGTTGCAGGGAGATAAAGGAAACACCAAGAGAGTGGGAACTGTGAGGCAGAGATCTGGAAAGAATGGACTGTGGTCCTTCCTTCTGGATTATGGGAAAATTGAGCCATCCTGCCTTGAGGGGCTTACACCACACACATGAAACTGGGACTCGGATTGCCTTTCTCTACTGGTATTTTGTAGCAGGAGCCTTAAATACGTATTAGTAAGGGCCCCTAGAATTCTCTGGATTGATTGTCAGAAGCCTGGTTTCAACAGTAAGTCAGAAGCCTGGTTTCAACAAGCTGAGTGTCAACTCTTCATGGGTATGTATATACTGAGTCCCCAGTACACTTAATATCATGCTTTATATTCTTTAGACGTATCCTGTATAAAGAAAAACTACATTTTATTCAAAAACAATTATAAAATCTTTATAATGACAGCCTTTTAAACATTTCCATTTGTAAATTATTTCCAGAGGTACCCTGATTTTGTAACAGAAGCTCTAACTCCTGGAGACAAATGATGAGATTATCACTCATATGGGCTAAAGAAACAAAGCCTTCGAGAGGCAGAACTTTAATAAGCACCACCAATGCAATCCTTAATTTTGCCGATGAGGAAATAAAGACCTGAAAAGTGATTTGCCTGCCTATCATCAGAAAGAAACTCCCCAAATAATGGCAGATTATCAGGCATAATCCACAAACACGTCACTGGATCGAAATAATATCGGGAAATCTAGCTTTGCCACTTACACTGTGTGATAATTGGAGTTATATCATTTCTTTTTTAAATGGCGTACGTTGCACACATTTATAAATTACAGATTTATAAGTGGCAAACACTGCATATATTTATATCCAATTTATAATGCATTGTAACTTTCAATTCCAAACATTGCATATATTTATATATGGCATGTATATACTTGTGCGAAATATGAACAAACATAAAGAACGTGAACAGGCGAACAGCATCAATTATTTAGCCATCCAGAGATGGTAACTGGTTTCTCCATTTTGTGTGTTTACTTTCAGAATTTCTATTTGTGTACAGGTTTTTTTTTTTTTCTCATTAGTACCATACTTCATATATATCTAAGTTTTTATTCTACTTTTTTCACTCATTTATATCGTGAGCCTATTCATTTATGTCCTATTGTCTACTAGTCCTCTTTTCCTAACAAGACAGAATGTGTGAAGACTGTATGTGGCTCCAACATAATTCTTTAAAGTGAGGCTCACTCAGTCACTGGTTTTGATTTCTAAATATTGTAAATAATGCTGCCTTACACAGAAAAATTTCCTACACATTTGAGTACGTCCTTTGACTATACTCACAGGGGAGGAATTAGAGCTGGAGGGGGCAACCTCTGCTAAAGACTCTGATATATAATTCTGCCATTTTGTAAAAGCCTCTGTTTTTCTGATATCCTAGAAATTCTGTAAAAAAAAATTACCAATATGGTCATCCCTGTGGATAGCTTAGCAAATTTCACGTCATTTAAATCTTCAATGTGTAATGACTTATTTTTCCCCTCCTTTTCCTTGTTAATATTTTTATTTCTGAAAATCACATACCCATATAGTTGCTTTAAGGCCATGCATTTACTAATAATCTCTCTATATTATGGATAGCACACATATAATCTACACAACAAGGTAATAGCCTTGGTTTTTAACTATCTAGAACTCTTTTAGAAATAATGAAAGCCATTGACCACCTCTGCAGGGAAATGCACATGCCCCTACATTTTGCACACGATTTCAGGGACTTAGGAGGCCTTACATCCCAGCCTCCTTGACCCTTCATCCCCATATCACCAGTTACAGAGATCACAAGGCAGCAAGTCCCATTTTAAAACAGCTTCAACTGTGGGACAATTCTTCCTTACACAGACCTAGAACCTTCCTTCCTAGGATTCCTACTCATCCCTCCCAATTCTCTCCTTTACAGACCAGAGAGAGGTGTTTATTTTTGGCCTAACAGCTCAAACAATTGACATCGGTAATCGTGTTCCATGTAAGACTCTTCTTCAAACTAAACTCCTTGGTTCCTCCCTCCAACTGTTCCTTTTATGTGGTTTCCACAGCCAAAAACCCTCTGGACACTTTGCTTGTCCAACAAGATGTTTCAAATATGTCTGAGCGCCTGCTGGAATGTGGTGCCCAGAACTAAAGCAAAGTACTCTGTTCTGGCTTTCCCAGCCTGACCCAGGACACTACAGCTCCCTTCCCGCCCCATTTATCCTTCCCACCATCGATGTGGTTGCTGCCGCTGCCGATATTGCGGCTACAAGCCACGTGCAGGATTTCAGGCACACACATTTACTTCCACGCTCTAATCCGGGACTCTCCTTTTACCCTGCCAAGGCTTTCTGTATCCCGGTTCCATCAGTCCACATAGTCTTTCTCTGCATGTGTGCTACTTACAGGTTTGCTAAGCATGCTTCTACTTGCCCACCTAACTCAGAAGTAAAATGAGGGAACAGGATGGTGCGAAGATTCATCCCCACCTCAACTAGCTATCACTTTCCAGGTTTATATTATTTTATTAGGTAGCATTTATGGCACACGCCATACCCATGTAGTCAGAAGTCTATTCAGTTCTATTGCCTGTACCAGTAAGTCAGTATTTCTCTGTTTAGCTCAAACAACACAAGGGTTACAAGTTCTTCAAAGAGGCTTGTCTTACTATTTTGCTGCATTTAAATCACGTATATTATCTATAATGGCCTAAGACACTTTAAAATATGCACTCTGTGGGTAAACTACATGCTCCTGTTTGATTGCGAGTCACATGACCTTCCTGTGGAGACTGCCAGTAGTTATGCAGAAAGAAGGGTAAAGAGAAAGGATCTCCTGGCTATTCTGAGAAGCATCGACTCCCAGCTGCCACCCCCCATACACCTCCCCCTCAAAGTACATTGAAAATACTAGATTCACTACATTCTTAGGTTCCTTCAAACTCTAAAATACTCTAGGAATTAAAAAAAAATGATGCATATTACACTATTAAAACTATATCTTGAATATAATAAATATAGAAAGTGCAACAATACCACTTACCTAGTACTAATAATCGATAATGATTTAAGTGCATTTGTTAGCCAGGAGTCTGTCAGACCTTCAATCTCTGCCCTCAACTGCAACCATGCGTCTCTCTTGGCAGGGCCAAGGAGTCCTGCAATGATGAAAAGCAAGGTAGAATCAACAGATGAAAAGTTTTCAGGAAAACCTAGTTTAGCCTCCCTTCTGTCCAGTATAGATAACATCGGAAGCCGAGAGAGACTGACTTAGATCAATACTGATCCTTCGTTTCAGAACTAATTACTCCTTCACCCAACAAACATTTACTAAACAACTCAGGTTTCAGGTACTGGGTCCCAAACTGGGGATGTAACAGTGAAAAAGTGGATCTCGGTCTCTGTACTCACTGAACCTAGAATCTGGCACGGTGGGCACCCACCACCTGAGGAGCTGCGACAGTCCCCGTGCCTGGGTCCCACTCCAAAAGACAGTGATAGAATAGAGCTGGAGAAGAAGGTGGGGCTTCACCAGTCTAGGGATTCAAACTTCAAACACTCTGGCTATCTGAACATGCTTCACTTCTTAATAATCACAATCATTACCGCTTTTAACCAGCAATGATGACATTATCCTATGTTGCCAAGTAGTACCGAAGCTATCACAAATACTCTGTTTTTAAAAAAGGCAAGAACTACGCTTGAAATTCGGAAGCATACGACACAGTTATAAACAATGGTTAAAGCTGCACTAATGTTGGGGTAAGAGAAGAAGCAGGCATGCTATCTCTTTTATTTCAAAAGCCCTTGTTTTTATGAAAAAAATAAGATCATGCAATCCACCAGAAATAAGTTTCTTATTTAAATTGTATTTCAGGGCATCAGGAGCACATACACAGGTAGATGATTTTTTTAAAAATTTTTGTTAATGTTTATTTATTATTGAGAGACAGAGAGAGACAGAGCACGAGCATGGGAGGGGCAGAGAGAGGGGGAGACACAATCTGAAGGAGGCTCCAGGCTACGAGCTGTCAGCACAGAGTCTGACGCGGGGGCTTGAACTCACGAACCGTGAGATCATGACCTAAGCCGAAGTTGGTCGCTTAACCAACTGAGCTACCCAGGCGCCCCAGGTGGAGGATTTTTTAAATCAAAATTTCTATTTTTTAGCAACTCATTTGTCCTTATTTCAATATAGCGATGCTAACAGATTAGCACAGAAAAATGGACTTACATGTCACCAAACTCTTAAAGCTATAAAACTATTTATTACTCATCTTGTTCATTTTTAAATGATTTTAGTATTACCCTTCACGAGGGAAACAATGTCACGTCTGAATGATAAAACTTAGTTCAGATTTCTCAAAGGAATTATTTCAAAATTAAGCATATTGCCCACAATTGATGTGAAAGAGAACACCTGTTTCTTTGATTTTACTAAAGTGTCCTACATAGAGCTTTAGAGTGAATTAGGAAACCGGAATTGTCTGCTCAGGACCCTGGACAAGTCAGAAGTCTGCCGGGCCTATTTCTCACCGGGAAATGAAGATCTCTCATTTGTGTTTTTTTTTTAATGTTTATTTATTTTGAGAGAGAGAAAGAGAAACAGAGCACAAGTGGGGGAGAGGCAGAGAGAGAAAGACACAGAATCCGAAGCAGGTTCAGGCTCTGAGCTGTCAGCACAGAGCCCCACGCTGGGCTCGAACTCACGAGCCATGAGATCGTGACCTGAGCTGAAGGTGGACGCTTAACTGACTTGAGCTACCCAGGAGCCCCGCAGATCTCTCGTTTCTAAGATCCTTTTTGGTTCTAACAACAATAATAATAACATGAGTATTGATTATGGTTCTACATGTTTTCTTTGTTCTCTTGTAGCTACTGAGTATCTACTAAGCACCTAGGGCTAGCTGGACACTGGGGATACATGATGAACAGAAAACACAGCCCTGCCCTCATGACATGTGTGGTGTGTGTAATAATATATACTAGAGATGAAAATGTTACTTACTGTTGTGTATTGTATTCTATGATATGTATATAAATACACATTTGTATAGTATGCATAAGTATATATAGCTTATCATTCAGTATTAGATTCTGATTTAAACTCCTCAACCATCCGTCCTTTAAAAAGAGAAAGAGAGAGACAGAGAGAGAGAGACAGAGAGAGAGAGACAGAAAACCCTGGGAGAAAAAATTTATATGACTTCATAGCTAATCTTAGAATCTTGCTGACCTACAACTGATCGTAATAATAGAAATAATTATGGTTTATTTTACCAAGAAGAACATCCAAGATTTTAGTTTTGAGGTCACAAGTTGTAATATCACCCATATATATGAATGAAAATAAAATGGCTTAGATATAACCCACAGAGTATCTGAACATTTAAAGACCATGATGGGGTGCCTGGATGGCTCATTCGCTTAAACATCCGACTCTTGATTTCGGCTCAGGTGTTGATCTCAGGGTTCATGGGTTCAAGCCCCATGTTGGGCTCTGTACTGACAGTGTGGAGACTGGGATTCTCTCTCTCTCTATGTCTCTCTGACCTCCCCCACTCATACTCACTCTCTCTTTCTCTCTCAAAATAAATGAATAAACTAAAAAAAAAAAACCATGATAATCACATTTAATACTATACATGGGAAAGACACACTGTCAGATAACGTGCAATTACAAAATACAGACTTAAGTCTTTGAAATGACATAAAGCACTGTTGATATTTATTTCTAAAAGAATTCCAGAAAGGTAATGATGACTAACAACTGTGCTCTAATGACTGGGGGCCCTCGCTTCTAGACAGGTCTTCCCGCTGCCTCAATCGCTTCCTCTGTCTGGTTTACACTAACAATGTCTGCTGACGAGGGGTAAGCGAAATGCCCTGCTGTAAATCTTAACCAAGTACCTGGGCCCAAAGAATTCCCAGTTCTTTTGGCAGAGATGCACATTTTATTTTGCACTTACATTTTTTTTTTCTGCTACCAACTCTAAGGGACTTAGAATTCTGACAGAGTAGTTCAGCATGAGCGCTTGGTAATTTACCTTAGAGTAGGATAGCCTCTAATACGGAACACGGCACTACAGTTCAAACCCTACCTCTGTCTACAGTAGCTTTATTAGAGTTAAAGAGCCGCACATACCTCCAACATTGTTCTTGTAGGTGTTGTATAATTCTTTTACTCTTCTGTAACGAAAAGCCAACTTCCTCATCCAGTCAACCCCTCCTCTTACACCTGTTGGCAAACAAAGGTTTGCACTACTTGCAGCTGCATGGAAGCCATCAGTTGCAAAACTGTAGGTACTGTAACACCCAAAATACATTAAAAAGAAATAAAAGAAATAATTACATGTGCAAAACTCCGCAGCCGAATTTCTGTAGGAAATAGCATACTGAAAGGCATGGCTTACCTTAAGTCTTGCCCATTATCATCAGAGGAAACATCATCTATGTGAACTTGATCACACTCCTGTTAAAAACATTGGAAAAGTTATTTGTTTTTCAAACGATGTCTGTATGGTGTTGGAGGGTTTTCCAGCTTTCCATTTGGCCAGGCTATGGCCAGAAGGTGGCAGCATTTGCCCATCCATCCCACTGCCAGCCTGGGGAAATGGCATCATTTCTATTCTAAGCCCAGAAGAGTGCCATAAAAACAGGTCTGAAAACATATGCCCTGTAGGTTTCTTTAGAGCCGTTTAAAAATTTTTAATCTTAAAATTATGGATAAGAAATTACCTTTGAGTCTCTACAGGAATGACTGCTGTTCACTTCCAGCCATCTCTGTTGTGCATACTTAAGTATGGGAATAACGCTGATCTGAAGATACACAGAATTCGTTTGGGCCGAACCTCAGGTGGTTACTATTCTTTGGTATTTGTTGGGCAACAACAGAGAGGCCTGATGCTTATGGTGCCCTGTGAGACTTCTGTGACTTCCTGCCTTTTGCTGGGCCAGGGATACCATGAAAGAACCATGCTGATGTTATTTTAAAAGTCCTGGTCTCTCAACGCAGAAAAAAGCTAATAACCACACAAGTCGACATTTTCTTTTTTTTTTCACTTTTGTTCAAGTTTTGAAATCTTTAAGCTGAAAACAATACTTAGAAACAAAAGGGAAATAATGAAGATTTACCATCTCCAATGGGCTACAAATTCAGAGGAAAGTAAACTTGAGGTACATATACCCATATAATTGACCTGATCTAAATTACGGTGTTCTCAGAACAAACGGTAACTTTTCTGGATAAGGATTAAATTCTTCTTTGCTGTTCTAAGAATCCTGTTCTCTCTTCAAATAATCTGAAAAGTTCTAGTGAAACAGCATGTGATCTGAAGGTGGAATTTGGCTAGGGCATTTAAAATACTGAGTACTTATGAAATTTAGGGTAGGTAAATTTAGCCTTTTGGGCTCTTTTTCTCTACTCAAATTATTTCAGTCATATTCACAGATGCTGACTGTATACATGGTACTTACTATTCAAAATCAATTTTTAAAAATTATTAACTTTGACAATAAGATGCCATATCAAACTACCTGAATATAAATTCAGCTACCATTTATATTCATTATAGGACCTGGGAAGTGCCTGGTACTGAAATATTTATCATCTCCGGTTTTCTATACTGAATATGTTAGATCCTATTATCGTCTGGGGTGAACTAATTGACTCAGGCTTCTTTTAAAATATAAAATATAGGAGCGCCTGGGTGGCTCAGTTGGTTAAGCATCTGACTTTGGCTCAGATCATGACTTGTGGTTCGTGAGTTTGAGTCCTGCACTGGGCTCTGTGCTGACAGCTCAGAGCCTGGGGCCTGCTTCGGATTCTGTGTCTCCTTCCCTACCCCTTCCCAACTCATGCTCTGTCTCTCCGTCTCTCTCTCTCTCTCTCTCTCAAAAAATGAATAAACATTAAAAAATATATAAAATATAAGGTTAGCCCAATCAATAGAACTTTAGTACATAACCTGAAAATCCAGGTAAATTGAAGGTTCATGTGATTTACATAAATTATGGGTTTAGGAATTTTTGAATAAATGTCTACCAATATTCATGGGTGAGGAAGGGCTCCAAAATGTTAACCTGACCAGAAGCTCCCTGAGAAGGGTGTTTGGGTCACCTGGATATACCCCCATTTAAGGCACAATTTGGCACACAGTAATCACTCAGCAACTCTTGGTTGGCTAAATGGCAGATGTCCAGACAAATGACAGTTCCTGACAAAATTACCACAGTCATTTAAATTTTCTAAGACAACATTTCAATTATATTAAAAATAATATTCCAGATGCTATAAGGACTGTAAGAAGATATTTATACCAAGAGTGGAGGGGAGGAGAGAGAATGGGGTACAAACCAAGGCTGCAGGTGTCAGAATGGGATAGACTTTTGGAAAGGGTTTTTTTCCCCATTTTGACTGAGTATGGGTTGAAAAGAGTACAGCCCAGGGGCGCCTGGGTGGCTCAGTTGGTTGAGCGTCCAACTTCGGCTCAGGTCATGATCTCGCGGTCCGTGAGTTCGAGCCCCGCGTCGGGCTCTGTGCTGACCGCTCAGAGCCTGGAGCCTGTTTCTGATTCTCTGTCTCCCTCTCTCTCTGAGCCTCCCCTGTTCATGCTCTGTCTCTCTCTCTCTCAAAAATAAACGTTAAAAAAAATTAAAAACAAAAAAAAAAAAAAAAAGAAAGAAAAGAGTACAGCCCAAACTTTAACCGAAGGAGGCCTTATGCTTCCAGAAAAATCTTAGGGAAAAGTATAGGAAAAAGCAACAGTAGTGGCTATTGGATTGGGCTCTCAAGGAAAGGGTGGGGAGGTTTCATTATTAGCATGAAAATTGGAAATAAAGTTCTTCCAGAACAAGGAGGCAGCAAAATAGTTCTAAAGAAGACTTATTTTTTTATTTAGAGACGGTGACATTCTTGGTGAGTATGAAAAGTGTACTAAATCACTATCAAAATGGCATCATGTAAAGCTGCTCATTCTACTGAAATTCTGAGATCTTTCACCACGTAAAAATTTCCATCTGTCTTATAATAAACAGTAATAAATAAGTAAATATCCAAAAAAGTGGGGGAAATCCTTATGAATCACTCTTTTACTCCTAATTACTTAGAAGCTATTTCTATATTTCATACCCTCTCATCCTAATTTGTGGAGAAACTCCTCTGACATTTCAAGTATTAACTCACATGATTAATTTGTACATTTTACCCCGAGATTTATTTTTCACTCCTGAGGACATCAGTGTATCAAACTTACTGGACCATGAGCTCCATATTTGAAGTTATGTTTGAGATTTTTCCAAATGGAACTTCTCTTTAAATTTATGCCTAGTTAACTATGCTTGTTGACTCTGGACTCTTGCCTGAGGATTACAGTCCAGTGAAAGAAACCTGAACTTCAATCACTTACATTTTTAGAAAATTCTAAATAATTGTTCTTCAATTAGTTTTCACTCAGAGGAATTGTGCAAGGATCGTTTTGACCCAAACCTGAAATACTAAAAACAGTGTAATGCTTGGCTTCAACAAATTTCAGTCTAAAGACTCAAACATTTGTAATAATTCTGATGCTAATGTTAAATTCTTTATTTTTGTCTTACAAGGTGACCACAAAGTTGTCACTGATCTTTATCAGTCACAACCCGCACAGCAGTCTTCTGTCACTGTTGTGAAGCTGAACTCCCCAGTGCCTTCCTTTCTGGAAGTTATTCTAACTGAAATAACATTTTATTTCAACAGGGAGTGTTCTCTTCTTAGGAGGAGGAGGAGGAGGAGGAGGACGATGAGCATTTGCCTTCTCTGCAGTTGGGCAGGATGTAGAGAAGTGTCTATTAGGATTTAAATTTGTATCTTTTAAAGAATTATGTGAGAGCAGCTGCCACTATATATGTTACAGTATCTACTGAAGGATTTGAGTCTCAAATTAGATTTCTGGGTTAAGAAAAGGAACCCTGAGAGGATAAATACACCAGGAAAAAAAAAAAAAAGGAAACTTAATAGGCGAATGATGGAGTTACTCTCTTGAGGAATTTGCCTCTTTGTTAGCAGAAGCAGAAATAGCTTAACACCAGTTATGTAGCCCATGATTATCTTTGCTTACAAGAGGTTTACTGAAATAAAAAATTGGGTGAGAGTAAAGTTGACTTTCAAAGTCAGATGCAGGAGGAGAGCGGATATATATGTAAGTGCACTGAACGATCTTAAAAGCTACTGTTCAGACGTTATTTGTTTTCATGCTTGTTTATAAGCCTTTGGGTCTCCTTGGGCACTTCATCTAGATGTACATGCATAGGGGTCATGGGTATGTCTGTGCACATGTATGAGAGTTTAATTAACTTATATGCAGATACTCAATCATTTCACTGATTAGGTACTTACTGTTGGACCCTAAGTTGTAGTGCTTGAGTCAAGTGGAATTTTTATCACATTTGAGAACATCACTAAAAAGCTATAATCAGAAGAGAAAGTCGATACCAGTATTTTCTCAGTTACTATTTTTACCAGAGATTCTGTCGGGTATTTCAAAAATATATTTTATATAGTATATAATCCAAAATAAAAATTCTTAAAGCACCATAGGTGACCACATGCTTCTGATATGCCAATATTCATGTCCAATGAGCTAGAAGTATTTGCAAATTCATCATATGTTACTTTCGCTTTCTTACTTTAGTATTCTGTTAAAAGTTGGTGGTAAATTTATTCCATCTGGCTTCTAGTGTGCCACTAAAAAGCTAAAAGGTTATTTATTCCACTTATTTCTAGTAAAAAATAATTAATGAAAGAAATAAAAACTCTAAAACTTGAATAAAACCACATAAAATTTCTTCTTTCTTTCTTTCTTTCTTTCTTTCTTTCTTTCTTTCTTTCTTCCTTTCTTCCTTTCCTTTTTTTGGGGGGGTTTAAAAAGATGAATAATCTTAGAATTTTCTTTAAAAAATAAGACTCATCCATTTTAACCAACAGGAAAACCAACCTAAAAGTTATCATCTTATATAAAAATTCAAGTTCCAAAGATTAAAATGTGTTTTCTATTATAATGGATATATAAAGTCATTCTGTATACTACACTACTAATAAGTAGCAGGATTAATTTAAATCAGGTTTTAGAGAGGTGATTATTTTTTCTTATTATCTAAAACTGGAAAACTTGCCTAGGAACACTGATCTTTCATATTGGCCATTAAAGAAAACAAATAAAACCTCTTTAAACAGACAGTAATTTTATTATCCAATAAAAACAGTGACTCACTGCAGAGAAAACAACACCAAAAAAAAAAAAAAAAATGATACTACCCAGATTTCCAACACATACATTTACGGGATATACTAAAACACAGAATTTTTACTCTTATGCCTCAAATGTAGCCAAAACTGGATTTAAGACCTTGTCAATTTTTAAAACTTATTTAAGACACTGAATAATTTAGCTTTTCTTTCTCACACACTTCTGCGAGGCGTGGGGGTAGAAATATGTGTTCTGGAGCCAGAGAGACTCCAGAGTTTCAAATCCCAGTTTTACCACTTAGCTGGCAGGTAACCTTAGACGTGATTTTTATGCTTGTGGACCCTACAGTTTCTCCTTGACAAAAACAATGTGATAAACATATTTATTTCAAAGAGTATTATTTCATTAATGGAAAATCCAATACAAAGTCTGTACTAGGGGTGTTTGGCCATAATCATCTCTCTTGCCATTTAGAATATGATTATAGACACTTTTATTTCGTTGTGAAACCATGAGATGAAATGTACATGTAAACATGTCACTTAAAAAATATTTCAGCGTAGTTGCATGTGACTGAGAAGTACTTCTGCTCGGTGCCCAATCTGTACAGTTAGTTCCAATTTGACCATCTGAGTGCCTAATAACTTAGATCAGTAGCACCCAGATTATATACTTCGTTACAGTACTTATTCAGCTACCTTGAGGCTATCGGGGAGTGGGGAGGGGTGGGGGGGGGAGTCCTTTCATTTTGTTATTGTTGGTTTTACTCTCCCTTCGAGGTTGGGAATGAAAAGATAAATCAGAAAGAGAAAAAAATAAACGCAATGAAACCAGTCAGATGTGATATGTAAATAGCTCTGGCACCGTTTTATCCACATGGGGAGGAAATAAGGAACAATAACGTTGTCTAAAATTTGGCTTCAGGTGATCTACAAAACTTAATATCTATGGCTGTTGTCCAGCGATTAATGTGAACAGTAGCCTGGAAAAGCAAATGCTGATGGGGAGGGTATCAAATGGGTTGTATAGTATGAGACAGCAAAGCAGACAGACCTCCCCTTCTGAGATATTTTTGTTTTAAACATGTGCCAGTACATAGGTATAATTAATTAATGCAATTTAGCTTTTGTTTATATTTGTATATACATTTTCCTCTTGACAGAAACTTTTACTATTCTCTTGAGCTAATTTTTTTTTTATTTTTTTTAGATTTCTTGAAGTTATCTGCGTGTATAGAAACCATCTAAACATTTTAACGGTTGGATACGACAGCTCCTACCTTTTTAAATTCTTACCTCTAAATCATTAAAAAATAAATGTGTATCAGCGAGATTAAAAATCATTTCCTCCATTCGGAGTCCAAGAGTTACAGCCATGGGGGGATCCTGAAAAGGAAAAATACATCCAATAAGGTAAAATTTCAGTGACTAGTTATTATCAAGAATATTTTAAGTGCATATTGTTGTAGGTGGTGGGGGTGGGTAGACTGTATGGATTTTTACCTAGGATCCAAAATATTTCCCAATTATCTAAAAAGGGTACCTTTCCAAAGGATAATCCAAGCCACACACTAAATATACAGCTACATTTGTGAATTTACAGAAATTCATACACACATGAAGACAACTTAGAATATATTTTCACGTACATCTATATGTATCTGAGGAGGAGGAAGGAAGCAAACTAGTTGATAGGACCCAGTTTACACAGACTCCATGGAGAGTCTTTCGGAGAAAGATACCTGGATGGGGTACTGAAGAATGGAGCAGACTTGTACAGAAGAGGAAAGGACATCCCTTTAAGAATAACAGGTCATAAGTAGGAAAGGGAGAAAAATAGGACTTCCGGATGTCTGTAGGGCTGGAGCAGACACTGTTGTCTGAAGGTGGGCCAGGAAGAGCAGGTGACCCATGGTAAAACCACCCCTTAAATATCAATTGTGTTTGATCTACAATATAGACCAATATTTATTTGGATATGCATATGGTTTGGTCTAACCTGAATCTGACTAGAGATTAAGAGGGTAGGGTCAAGGATAACTAAAGGAACATTAACTCAGTAAAAGTAATCTAAGTAGAAAATATATACCTTTAGGAGTTTAATGAAAGTAAGGGGTTAGTAAGAAGACAAGTGACTTAATTCTTGTTTACAGAAACCAAGATATTACACAGCAGCAAGAAGCTCAGACCCTAGACCACAGTTGGTACTTTCCCATGATTAACTATAGTTTAAAGCCTAGCATTGGAGGTGGAAGACTTTAAAAAGTAAGGAGAGTTTAGGGCTAGGGCTAGCGCAGTAATTCATGTACAAACATTGTGCTTAGAAAAAGAAAGAAAGAAAGAAAGAAAGAAAGAAAGAAAGAAAGAAAGAAA